CATGAAAGGGTGGTGAGGATGCTGTTGGAACGGAATGACATAAATCCCGACAAAGCTGAGAACGAATATTCCCGAACACCTCTCTTGCTGGCTGCCGAGAATGGGCATGAGGGGGCTGTGAGAATGCTTCTAGAGCGGAACGACGTGGATCCCAACATAGCTGAGACCAGGTTCGACCGAACACCGCTCCTATTGGCCACTGAGAATGGGCATGAGGGAGCTGTGAGGATGCTTCTAGAACGGAACGACGTGAACCCCAACACAGCTGACACCAGGGTCGGCCAAACACCGCTCCTTTTGGCCGCTGAGCATGGGCATGAGGGAGTTGTGAGGATATTGCTGGAGCGGGACGACGTGAATCCTAACACAGCTGACCCCTGGTTCGGCAAAACTCCGCTCCTTTTGGCCACCGAGAACGGGCACGCGGGGATAGTGAGGACATTACTGGAACGGGAGGACGTCAATCCCAACATAGCCGACACAATATGCGGCCGAACGCCGCTCCAATGGGCTGTCATGAATAGGCGTGAGAGTATCGGAGAGCTACTGCAGCGACGGACGGACGGACGGACGGACCCGATTCCCAGGTATGTGTCAGGACTGCGGTCAATAGTATCCTCCTCCACAAGCTTCCCGAGCAGCGCTCCTAACAGGCCAGATAGCCTAAGCTGAACCAAAGCCGGACCCAACCTGTGGCAGTTATCGGGCATCTAGCCTGGCCAGAGCTTACAGGCTTTCAAAAACCCCGGCGGGGCCCAGCCATTGGCTGTATGGGCCCAGTATCTGCCACCTGATAGGTTGACCTGGATTATATGGCCTGGCTTGGCCTAGCCTATGAATCCAGGCTTGTAATCTCTTCAGTTTTTTCAATTTCCTTTGGCTTATCCTTCATTCTGCTAAATTATTCCAAGTCACTACCATAAGAATAGTAAATTGTATGATCTCTAAGCAAGTTCTTAGAAGAGATAATGGGAAGAAGAAAAAAAGAAAAAAAATCGACTCGGTACACTCAGCAGGAAGAAACAATAAGTACGAAATTGATCCCAATCCGAATCTTAGGTATCTCCTTTCTTGGGAGAAAATTTTCCGGAACTAAAGATAAATGACAATGGACAACTGTATTACTCCCGAGCTTTGGCGTTACCAGACTAGAAAGAGCATCTGTAAGATCGCTAACAGTACCAGATGCTGATCCTAGGTGTGGGTAGCGATATGGGCCCGCGCGCTGTTGATGAACTTCCCCGAGGTGTAATACGTCTAGACCATCTCGTCGAGTTTTTCACCTCTCGGATGGAGGGTAATCTCGCCCAAGATTGCATCAGTATCCAAGGAAGCGAGAAGGAAACTAAACCTCCCTATTAGTGAACAGTAACCCAATCTTGTATTGGGAATCTACTTGATAAACTCTCTTACACCTCTGAGATCTCCGGAACGGCCCTCATAATATCCGCCCGCAATTCGTCGACCATCGCACCGGGATCAGTACCACCATCCAGGCCAATCTCCAGATAACTCTTTATATCATCCTTGGTAAGGCTAACGGGTTTGCTCCCTGGAAATCGCTGTAGAGTCCCACCATTCATGGCCGCTATAGGGCCCGCGGGTGGGGAATATCCGTATGTTTGGTGACCCCTGAAAGATTTCTGGTAGTGACGCAAGGAGTTCCTGTCGGTGTCTCGGAGCGGATTCATCTGGAGCACCGATGCATACAAACACCCGCGGTACCGATGTGATAGTCTTCTTCAGAATTGCCACCAGACCGGGAAGTCGAAGCCTCCGGCCGCCAAGCGGTGGGTTCGCACACCTTGGTGCCCTTGCTGTAGTTCAAGTGGCGACGGCCGCTGCAGGACCTGACGTCTGCTTCACGGCTAAAATTCAACAACACATCGATCGAATTGTAATTACCAGTGAAATCCACTGTCGACACCTGCGCTATAGTTCTATTATCTGAACCCCTCCTCTTGAGAGCTGTGCGCAATGAGAATCGACCTCCGTTGGAACTCCTGAAGATCTCTAGGACCGAAGAGAGGGAGGGCGGCAAGTTATAAATGTACTGCGCCGACGTTGCACAAGTCTGCCCTTGTCCAATCGTTTTACCGGCAGCAAGGAGAGTCCCTCGTAGACTGTTTCACCAAAGGGTCCCTGCATACAGAGCAATCTGGGCTCTCAAAGTGTAAAAAAACAAAAAAGGTTGACCGGGATCAAATGTTTGTGTGAGCAGTGTCGTTTGCCGGTGTTGCACTCTCAATCCACAGTGCCAGTAGGGTCCAATAGTGCTCATACGGCCCTACGCTAGTCTTATCATGTCGTTCGAATAGCCGTCACTAGGAGTCTAACTTAGGGTCTTTACCCCCTGCTTTACACAGTAGAGCAAGGATTTTTTTTTAAGCAACTTACTTGAGCACAAACAGCGCACCATACTCGTACAGTTATTTCGGATCCTGCAGCATGGTTGCGGAGGTCTATCAACAGATCACCACTTCCTTTAATGTGTAGCTTATTAAGCGGTTGACCATTTCCTGATATGGCAGTGGTATGCGTCTTTCCCCCTAATTAGGAAGGATACTGCCAATAGATTACCTGTTACGGTTACCCTCATGCCTGTTAACCGAATGAGCCCATGCAAGTACTGTGCGGTACAAACCCAGAATCAACCTAGCACCTCCACAAGTTACAAGTAATATTTTCTTACCTTCCAAAGCCCTGCAATTGGAAGGATTAGAGTTTTCCCCACACGGCACAAGTTCAGGCCCTAATTAAGTACTTCACCACCCTCCCCAACCCGTCAACCTGAACCCATCGTGGACCGACTCTTTGATAACCTATGCGAGAATCTCAAGGGCTCTTAGTGTACAGTACTGGTATGTGATTAATACCCACCACCGCGCGCGTTCCATAACCGGACCACACGCTGTGAGTTGTATCGACGAACGGACTTATCGCCCACTGCGCGGACGTTCCCCAGCGTCGCGGAAGCGTCTTCTACTTTTCCTCCTTCAGACAGTTCGTCCCCAGTAAGCGCATCATTTCCGGTCAGGTTGAGAAATAGAATATTGTGCTCGGAACGGGACTTCACTATTCTCTCCCCTTCTCGCAACCATTCGATACTTTCTAAAATAGCACTCCAGGTACGAGGAAGGGGATATCCCACCGGTATTACTAATGGCTATTTATACAGTGATGGCGGTCACCAGGGAGACCACATCCGCTCGAGTGTAATAGTCCCACAAGAGAAGGCCGGGGGGGTGGAATGGGGTCGATCAGCCCAGCCCCCCGGCCGTAATCTGTGCAGCAGAAATTCGCGTGGCGGACTGTGTGATGGATGGATGGATGCTCCTAATTGGTTTCTCATGATTTGCTTCGCTCTACCGCACCCGCATGTCATTTCATGTACTGGTACCGGTGGTCGAGTACAGTGCCGTACGGTACACATCCGTCTAACCTCCTGCCATTCCCTCTTGATTGGGTTACTGGTAGGTTGTATGATACCAATTACTATACCACCTGACCAATAACACCGCCACCTCCGCAGAGCCCCCCGCACCCCCCTCCAAGCTCTCAGAACTATACTTATAAACAATAAGAGAACAACAGGAGCCCCCTTGGTTTACTGCTTTCGGAGTGCCCCCTGGGATATAGTAACGTTTTATCAGAATTTTCTTTATTGAGCGATGGGGAAGGGTGGGCTAGCGAGGGGTTCCCGAGCCCCTGTGGGTACTCGGAAGCGCATGAGAACGTGAGGATATCTATGTATTTATATCGTGGTTATACGAGTCGACGTGGGCAACCCGGCTCATGTCTCAATTACGGGTATTAGATAAAGTAACAGGGTGCCCATCAATGGGGGTACGGAGAAAGAGAAAGAGGGTATGTACCATAGCGAGAAGAGCGAAGGGGGCCACCATTTTAAGAATCACCATAGCAGTCCCTTCTCCCCGCTCCGTCAAATGAATGGCCTCACTGGCCACTAACTTAGCCCTCCTGTTGTATATTGCATGTTACTTGGTATTGCTTTAAGATGGGTTGTTGCAGGTTGCATGCAACATGCTATAGATTCATGCTTACTCGTGTGTTCTTCCTTGTCACCTTGTCTGAGGGCCGCGCGTCTACTGTTTGCTTTGAGAGAGAGGCGAGAACCCAGCTCGGCTCTCAGTGTAAGTGGGCGGCTATAAAAGGACACCTGTTCTTGTTGTTTCCTCTAGACAGACTCAATTAACGAACCCTCCGCTGCTGAAAACTCTTGACACTCGTGAGATTCTAACACCTCCGGCCACCGAAACTACGAGTGACATCTCGTGAACACACAAACTCACCTATGATACAGACCCACGTTCCCAAGACCATAGAAACACACCACGAAGCCAAATAAATAAAAATCCCACTACAAATAATTAGGAAAACAGCACAAACATTACTTGATTATCTCTAAGCACAGAACCGACACCCTTGGCCTCCTCAATTCCCTCTCTCCTGCTCCCAGTGCATTGGCGACCTGCTAATCTCCGGGTACTACCCACTCACTATACTTGTACGCCCGTCTGCCAGAGTTTAAGCCGCCACTGTATTAGAAGCGCGATAGTGGCTTCAAACCATGATGCGTTCCCGGACACCCCGGCGACCCTCAGAACCACCCGTGACCTGGGTTGTAGAGCGGCACATTTCACGGTTATTTTGGAAGGGGGAGTAAAACGCGGAAAGCATGGCAAAGAACGTGAACCTCCAGAAACTCGAAATATCGTCCCCGGTAGAGGGGATCCGGAATGAGCCGGATACCGGTAGATTTCACGACTGTATGATTACCACGCTGGCTCCGTCTTTCCTAGAGCCAAATTCGCGGGATAGGTGGGTGAAAACTTTTCTCAAGGATTTTTGGCAGCATCATACGTCAAAAGTGCCCGAAACGGAATTGACAATCAAAACGTTTCGGTTCTAAATTTACGATGCGGTACTCTGCATCCGTCCCACAGTACCCGAGTACAGTGCTTCCTTCAACACGTTATGCGGGTGTCGTACAAACCACCAATCCGGCTCTGGCCCCGCAGCTGTTACTTGTGGGTAGCTTGCCAACCTCAACGGATAAAATTTCACCCACGTCCGCGGGTGCGGTGTTCTCACCGGTACAGTAGCGAACCCGTGGTCCTATCACGCAACCCGTTATAGCGATAAGCGGCATCAAAAAAATGAACTCTTCATGTTCAATGATCATGGAAGGAAACACAAAGTAAATAATAAATAAATAGATAGTACATTCATCATGACCATGTAGCAAACTTAGGTGCACCGCAAACTTTGGTACGGCATGGTAGCATGGTGTTCCCCACTTTTCCGCCCTTGATCGTTTCAACAAGCCTGTGCCGGATTCACAGACCTTCAGTGCAAACGTCCAACATGAGTTAGGATGGGGGGAGAAAAAACAAAAAGACTATAGAGACAACTGCGAATCTTAACATCCCATTCTGCCATCCTATCCACATGGTATCCGCATCGATCCACCCATCCACCACATCCACCACATCCATCCAAAAATGCCGTTTTGGAAGGGAAGAAACCGACGAGAAAATCTACTCCTTCCCCGCCCTGACTTCTCTTTCCGAGGGAGGAGCGGACGCAAACCCGCCCTCAGTGCCCATGATTCCAAGACCCAATCCCAAACCTCCCATGCCCGTTGGCGTCTTCTCCTTCTCCTCGTCTTCGAGGTTTTCTACCATGCTCAGCTTACTAAGATTCGGGCTCTTTCCCAGTGGGTCACCGCGAAACCTCGAGAACGGCGATTTGGCCATGTCCGGGGACCGAGGACTCAATGGGAGGGCAAAAAGGTCTTCGGGGTCCTCGTCTAGGGGGCTTTCATGGCATGGTTGGAAAGGGGTGTTGCTTATGGTGGTGGTGAGCTTCAGCCCACCCTTTAATTGCGGGGATGTCGTTGTCGTCGTGAGTGCGGGTAACGGTGCGACGGCAGCGGTGGCAGGAGTAGAAGCGACGGCTGGGGGAAGAGACAGGAAGTTCTCCGACACCCATACCATTTCCTCGCCCACCATCCAACCCTCGCGACGAATAGCTTCCTCGTCCATTCCTCCACCTTCAACACCGACTTTTACCCTACCTTTGCCGAGACCGCGAGCACCCTCACGCTCCAGTTCGCGGGCTATGTCTTCGAGGGTTTTAAGGTCGGCAAGGCGATGCTGTGCCCAGGCGGTATGTCCTTCTGCCCCCGGAGGCACACTAATGATGCCCACGTCCTCAAGGGTAACCGGCGGCGTCCAAGTGGGGTAAAACAAGATCTTTACGGAATCTGGGGTCTTTGCGCCCCCGGTCAACAAGAAGTAAACCTTCCCTTTTCCCTCCTCTCCGAGGATGTGAGTCGGAGCCTGCACAATTGGTCTCGCGGAGAAGAAAGCCGGGAGGTCATCGCTCGGCTCCAATTTATCCAATCCCCCATTCTCAAATTGCAGCAATTTTGCAGTCGACAGTGGGGCAGTAGGGAGGTCTTCCGGGTTATTTATCCGACGATCCAACCATGCAGCTTCAGCACGCTGCTGTGGGGAGAGTGCGTTCGGGGTCTGGTTCGCCGAGGAGGAGTACTGGAGGGCAAAGTATGAGCCTTTTTCACTTCGAGCCGAATGCAGATCGGTTGATAGGGCCGCGTACATGGAGTCCCACTCCACGACCCATTCACCGTCCGAGGCATTTCTGCTGGGTGAGATGTCCCATTCTACCGTTAGGACACGGGTAGAGTCATTTGTGGAGGGTTCGAGTGTCGCTTTGGCATTCTGGATCGAGAGGGGCGGCATTGTGGAGGTGGTGGTGGTGGAGGTGGAGGTGGAGGTGGACGGCATGTTTGCTTTTGGCGGAGACGCAGAGCTGTGAGCGGGAGAGTGGAGTTTCTGAATTCGGGGGAGCGGAAGGTGGGGAGATGCGGGGAGGTTTGTGGAAAGTTGTCGTCCTGTGCGGCTGATGCTGAGGGCGGAGAGCCGGTGGTGGAGGATTATCAGGTTGGCTAAACAAATGATAGCAGCGCTTGGTACTCGTGGAGAGGGTACTTTTGCTGTGCAGCAGTGGTAGAAGTAGTGGGGGGTCAGTTAGTTTCTCCTATCCGCGGAATCCTTAGTGAGCGCGTGGTCTAAATTATCAGGAGCTGGACAAGGAGAAAACCCAACCAACAAACTCACGCACCTGACAAGCGCGTGATTCGATGCGCGACCGAAAGAGGGCCAAGAGTACGGCAGGAGCAGCGAGCGGGACCTGTGGATAGTCTAACCCCGCGAATTGGTGAATGAAGTCAAGGATCGGTGTGCGGGAGCCGTACGATACGATACTTGTGCCACATGTGTGATCGGAGGGGGATTGGAGTGTCCTGCCCGGGACCGTATTCTCCCTACCCATGCAAGGAACGCCGCAACAGCCACGCAACGAAAAAAGAAAGTGGAGAAGGTGTTCTGAGGAAGAAGCCTCCTCCTCCTTCACTTCGCCCCGGCCGGCATCATACTCGTACCGTGGATTGGCGTACTGACCCTACTCGAGTGATACGGTACCCCCTTCCAGGAGAAGGGGAAACCACCGCACTGTGCTCTACTCGTGCTGCAACTCGATTCCACTCTTCCATTCGATTCCCTCTCCGATAAAAATAGCCGCCCGCCAGGAACCAAACAAACCGCTTTCTCCTCCACCGCCCTCCCCGCGGCTCTCTAATCGGCATGTCATTCCATGTCGATTGCTTGCGATTATTGGTTGAGCTGATGATCATCGGAGTCCTATTTTTAGCGCCCTAATTTAGCTCAATTTGCCAACTCCAACAACGCTTGGTTTCATGCAGACAGGGCTACAAGATCCCTAACCCTGCGTTTTCGGTTGTCGTAAGGCTTGGCGGAAGGGAGATGTTTAAGGTGAGGCTCTGCGGAGATGTCGGCCGTGTTCGGAGCATCTGATATGCGCTCACGGATTACCACCACACGCCTGTATACTATCTTCACAGCTCTCACTCGGAAGATGGCAGATGCAGTCACTGCAAAACGCGTATGGTACCGTAGGCTGCTCGAGCGTTACTCAATAGCTTCAGTGGGTACGGTAATGTAGTATCTTCAGACCATCATTAAATTTAGCCGTCAGGTTACACAACTTGAGCTCAATTCAAGCATGTCTCTTAGAGAAGAGTAATCCAACTGATAATGACAAGCTACGTTCAGCCGGTATCTGATACCGTATCAAAGAAATCCTCGAATCCCCGGAAAGAAATACCCAGTACCGCACTCGTACTCGTACACAACCTCCCCCCATAGGCCGTTGCCATGCGATCTGACAATGCGGCACTCCCCCTCCTAGCGATGGAGATATTCTAGAGTGGGAAAACGCATATCATGGCATACCGGCTGTGGACGGTGTTTGTACCCTTCCCGCGGAGATAGAGTGCGGACTCGCGATGCTAAGCGAGTAGAATCGACCCGGGGGCCGCGTATTCGGACCTTAGGGGCAATAGATGAGGGAAAGGAGGTCAACTGAGCTCTGTGTAAAGTGGGAACTAGAGAATTGCGGGGGGGCAAGAGGAAATGACTTGATCGGCTTTACCAATCTCGTGGCTCGTCTCCCATCGCACCCCCCAGCACCGCACACACATTACCTTATGCGTCGTAGAAAATCTTGGAATCCACACGCCCCGCCCCCTCGCCCTTTAATCCCCAGATTCCAAGCCAAAAGCCCCCGTGAAGGGTCAACATTTTCCCGACACAGGATAAATATCAACCCACTACCGTAGATGTGTTGAATCTCATCCAACAGCTAACTTGATCGCTATTCCGTCAACCTTTCGGACTACGGTGGACCTATCGTGGGGCTGGCTGGCCGACTACCGCTAATAATCCAAAAGCTGATCTCGGGAGTGATTGCGGTATCACTGCGAGAGAGAAATGATGTGACTCCAACCAACAGTAGACTATCACAGGAACCCGTAACAGGAACGCCCAGTCCGGGATCGTGACCTTTGGAAAATCCCCAGATGTGATATATCATACAAAGTAGAAGATACCGATGTTGGTTTCAACTTCCTCTTAGTGGACACGGCTGACATTAGGGGCAGCATAGCGGGCCTTTAAGGGTTTCTTGGAACTCGGGGATATAGGATATGAGGTTTCGTTTCACCCGCGCGGCTGCCCGGTTTGCGCGAACGTTGGCCTGGGGCAAATGGGGATTTGGCTGGCAGGGGAATTCTGGTATCATACTGCCAGTCTAGGGGAAATCCCATCCGCTTGTCCGGTGTTGTGTGGTGCTACGAGAATCTTCCTCGGGAGCTCATTGATCCAGTGCAGCTCTTGGATGAGTATCTTGTACAATTAGTTTATGGGGGAGACTGGCGCCTGTAGTGCTACTCCTTTCCTGGAAGAGTAGGATTGCGGATCCGGTAACCGGTAGTGATCAGTGGGTGGGGCTGCAGTATCCCTAAATATCAAGGAAAATTCGATAGGATAGCTACCGGCGGCGGCTTTCATAGCCGAGTGGCATAGTATACAATAGTCTTTTCACCTCAATCGCCTATTCACTCCCCAGAATACTGAAAGCCCTTTAATGCAACTGCAAGGTTTTTATTTTTCTAAAAAAGTAAAGACAGGTGACCGTCTAAGCTAGACAAAGCTACATTCCAATCCCATGAATTCCCTCATGAAAAATGTTGCAATCTCCCCCAAATCCACCACATGAGCCAGAGATAAAATTTAATGATAGTAGCACCCTTGCCGGAAACCCAGATATCTGAGAAACTATAGGTGACACAAAGCGATCTAATAGCGGGTAGCGCAACCCCACCCTCCACTTGCACGATTACCTATAACATATGGGGAAGAGGTCAGATGTGGCAGAGAGCCAAAAGACAAGACAGGCAGTCGCAAAAGGTTTTATTTGATGACAAGTTTTTTTTTGTTTTTGAAATGGATTTTTTGTTTTTATCCGGTAACAGATCCGTAGTAATGCAAATATCTGCGAGGTTAAGCTTTGCTCCGTATATAACGCCTTCTACCTTTTTAGGACTTCCCACTATTCGGGGGGGGGTGCATGTCGCCCTTTTCCCTGCCGCCCATCTCGAGGAGGTCGCTGGAGGTGTTGTTAGGCTTGCGCGTGGGGAGGATGGTCTTAGCTCCGGATGCCCTGTTGCGGGGGAAAATAAACTCAACTGGCGCTTTGCTGGCTGGGACAGGTTTACCCGGGGAGGGTGGTTGACCATTTGAGTTCCCGCTGGGTATGACGGACGCAGCCCATTGGCTGACCTTCTCGTTGTGAGACATGGGAACCCTTAAGTTTGCAGCATGCCCCGCGAAAAGACTGCTCTTGAGTGCTGGAGTAGGCTCGAGGACTGGAATGTCAATGGCGTGGGCCAGCACAGCGTCGAACATTGTATCGAAGGGGCAATTGCGACCCCCGGAACTACCGGCGTAGGAGAAGACCGTGCTAGGTGCCTTGGAGGCCGTGCTATGGTTGGAAGTCCCATTGCGCCCAAACGATCTTTGAGATGGAGTACCCAGACGAGATTTATGAGGCCCATCAAAGTCTGATGCTCCACTTGATGCTGTGGGTGCATAAGAAGAGCCAGCTACGCTAGAGGTACGATACGGCTGCATCTTTTCTATACGAGCGGAAAGGAGGGCGTTCGTGCTCGACTTGGCACTAATGCGACTAACCATCGAGGTGGAAGCGGTGTCTGAGGCTTTCGAGTCGCCTAGGTCGACAAGGGAAGAAATTTCTCCTCCTCCAGAACGTCCCTCACTAGCCGCAGGAGCATTCACAGGCTCTATTGGAGTCTCATCCGACTCGAGCTCTGCGAAGAACTTTTGACGAGCCTTGACTGTTTCAGCGGTCTCCAGGACGACATCATCTTCGATGCGAAAGCCATCAAAGACCTGGATCAGCGACCCACATGCGCTGTTGGCCGGAGTGGGCAATATGCGGACGGGGGTAGGCATAACAATTTCTGGCTCCTGGGCAGTAGGTATGTTGATTTCTTGCCCCTGCATCATGACTACATCGCCGTCTCTGTCTACGCCGTCCAAAGGCCCACCAGCTGCATCTGATTTCATTCCTTCTCGCTCTGAACGTACCAGGTCAGCACCCATGATAATTCTGGAGGTTCTCCGCAAAGGGGCAGAAGCCGGGAGATAAGCCTACCCTTTTCGTGCAGCCTTTTGGCCGAAAATATATCTTTATCGTCGTCACCGAAAGTTTGTCCGTTGATCCAGTAGTCGGGATAAATAGATGGAACAACGCCGAGCTCTATTTGCCTACGGCGGTGGTCATAGAAGGCTGGCCCAGTATAGTGATCCGATACAGTGCTTTGGTCTTTCCAATCAAAAGGGCGAGGAACCCCTACGAACTTGTCGGGATCCGAGGGGTCCTGTAAGTAAGGGTAACTAGTGCGAATAGGGTTTTCAGAGCTAGATTTGTGACAATCTGGGCGACCCGCCCATGAAGGCAGACGGGGACGCGGAACACCAATGAGCCTGTTGGGATCCGAGGGGTCCTGCAAGTACGGATGGGTAGTGCGGCCGGATGCATCCGAAGGGGATTCACCATCATTCGAGTTGGGTGCCCGTGTGGGAGGACTAGCACGTGAAACACCGATCTGTCCATTGGGGTCCTGGGGGCCTTGTTTGTGCGAATGATCTGGAGCCTTCCCTTGATCGAAGACTGACCAATGCTTAATCATTGCTCTAGGGGCAATAGGAACTCCTGCAAACTTTCTGCGACCGTTAACAAGCCCTCCGTTTCCTCTGGTTTGACCTAGAAGAGGACAATCGTAGATTAGAGATCGGGTGTCTTCAAAAACAGGCCAGCCAACTAACACATACCATTGGAAGTAGCCCGGTCAACGATTCTTGCGCCGAGAAACTCGGTCCGACTTGAGTCAACCCCAAGTTCAATGTCAACAGCCAAAGAGTCGTGAGTATTCCAGACCGCCTTTTTGACCACCTTACTCTCGTTAGGTAAGAGGTTCTTCAAGGCTATCTCTATCCCAGTCGCGAGATTACGGGTGTCGCGCAGTCTCTGACGCTTCCTCTCCTCTTCTGTAGCATTAGAGTTTTTCTTAGGGATGCGGTAGTTGCCCATGATGGTATCTTTCCCATCGTACGGGCGTCTTTTCCATACCTTGGAAAAGGTCGAGCTTGGGGCCATCTTACTGGGACCGGGTGACAGCCGATGACGCAGTAGTCAGTGCAGACGAAAAAGGGGAGGCGTAAAGGGATAATGCAATCCCGAGGTAGAGAAATAAGCGATAGCGGTAACCGCCAACGTACGGTGAGTTTTTGCAAACTGTAGAGGTTTCGCGGGAGAAATATTTCTTGAGGGGAGAGAAATTAGCTGTTTGAATCTGGAGGCGGCGCTATTTCAGATGCTTTAAGTCCTTGAAGAGTGAAAGTGTAAGGTAAAGGACAAGAGTATAAGAGAATACTAACCAAGAAGGAGACTGAAGCAGGTAAAGCCTCCGGATAGCGGAGCGCAAGGAAGCAGTTGAAGGGCGGATGGTTGCTTGCGGAGTTGGGGAGAGAAAAAGGTGGGATGGAAAGAGGAGAAGGGAGGCGGTGAAGGAGGGGGGGAAGGAAGGGGTTTGGGATGAAAGGGTTGCTTGAACGCAAACGATATGGGTGGGTCCACCGCTTGACGCGTTTGCAGCAAAGAGTGTGATTGTCGTAGCCGCGTGTGTCTCGTGGTGATTTGGGACTCGAGTTATGAGAGTGATCGTATGATAGGTTTGTGAGATGGCTTTTCCTCTCGGAGGAACTTTGTCTAGGGATGCCTTGGTTCTGAGGTCTGCGCAGCGTGAGAGGGTAAGGGATACCGGTGTCAGGAAGTGCTCAGGTTCCGGGGGCCAACTGAGGGTTGGGTGCCCTGATGGGTGGTCTCTTTTATCATAATATAAATTTCGTCAATTGGAATTCCGCTGCCCTCTGCCGTACTTGGCATGCAAGAGGGCTGACCTCAGGATAAGAGACTTCACTTGAGGTGGAGATCCTCGAGTCCACAAAGAAAGAGTGAAATTGATGCATGTATTCCTCGATTTTGCCCGCCGTGGGCTCAAGTCCCCTAACTCCCTTCACGAGCATGTCATAGTTACCTTCCTGGGAATGGGAAGCTTCCATCAACCTTGCTGCCCTGGTCCGGGTCCCTGAAATGTATTATTTGCTTATGCCCTAGATTGATTGATTGCAGCTGTTGATTATGCTCGCTGTTCGACTTTGTTTTATTTTTGTTACGGTAAGAGGTTTGACAAAGAAGTTGTGCCTTTAAACATGGAAGAAAAATGGCAGAAATGTACTTTATATCAATGAGGGCAACACTTCCCCGCAGGAGCGGAACTCGCCCCTCCACGGAAATAGCCACTATAAGCCCTCACTCCGCGGTTTTCCCTCTCGGTCATGCAGGACCACAGCCCGGGGATTTCCGCGGCGGAGGAAATAACCGATATAAATGTTCAAGGCTAAGCCATAGGAAATTCTTGCATATATCATACCAATGCTGGACCTCTACGATGTAGCTTTCTAGAGCTCCAAAGTTCAAGACGACTGGAACGATCCCTGCTACAACTTCGTGTGGCTTTAGGTGTCCATCGATATACTTCCTCCCTTTCGTCATTCCATATCCCGCCCGGTCTCAACCGATCCACCAATCAAAGGTTTACCTCTCTACGCTCTTTCCAATACCTCGACACTAGCACGGCAAACCAGCCTTCCTCGTCCCGGGGGGGCATACGCCCGTGGAACTCACCAAGCCTACTCTAGCAGGTCCAGAACCCTGATCTGGAGATTAAGAGCTATGTAAACAGGCACTAACATAATTCGGGCTTACTAAGTTGAGGAGGGGCTTGGTGGTACGATTCTGCTTCTCGCAGTCTAACCTCCAGTGCGCCTATTGCCTAGGGTTCTGGGTTCCCTAACGGTCTACCAAGCTCGCAGCTTTTCCTAAACTTACCCTTACAGCTTTCAAGTGGAGGTATCATAATTCTTGTAACGAGATTGGATTGGGGTAAAATGGCTTGAATATCTTTGCCAAAGGACCTATCACACTAAATATGGACAGCACAACTTATCATGATAACTAGCTGTCAAACTTTTGGGGCACGCACAGGAGGGATCCAAGCGTGCGATGGAGTTTTCTACGATACTACGATACCAGAATGATGGTCGGCCGAAAGACGGCCACAAGCCTAAGGAAATAATCTTGGGAGTAGGTCTCAGGAGTGGGGCAAAGCTGGCCACGTTTGTGATGGTTGGGAAGATTGAGAAACATCTCCGAGTATTATCTGCATTTTTGAACCCCAGCCTGTTCTGGTGCCCCCCCCCGGAAGGCGCCTTTCAAGTGAGGTGTGCAAGGATTGTGCTATAATCCATTAAAAAAAGTAGTGGCACCTGACATTGTCGGAAATGATCAAGGTCCTGGTTTCCTGGTATCCCCCCTTTTTCCTCTCCAGATCCGCGAGGTAATAATAGTATCATAGGATTTCCAGGTACATAATAAGTTCTTTCTAGTGTGCTATAAAAACCGCTCGATTTGGGAAATGATGTATCCCATCGCAAATAAATAAAGGCTAAGGAAGGGCCTAGGAGAAAACTCATACTGTAATTAACTAACGGGCGCTAAACCCCATCGTGTCTGTGTGTCTGCATCCCGTGATTTGGGGTGCTAGTAAAGCAAGGAAGTTGTTAAACCACTCGATTCAAAGTGAGCCGGAATAGGTAACCCACGACCCCGGCATTGGAGACGTCTCTGCTGGACGGGGAAATCCCATGAACCACGAAACTTTGTTAGGCTGTCAACCGCCAAGCGGGTAGCAAGGAATTGTTTTCGATTATCAATAACCCAAATAACTATTAGGAGGAGTAGTTGCGGGGGTAGTGGGTGATGGTAAGAGGGTAGAAGCGCGATCGATAGAACCGGGGACAAACGGGAAAAAAAAACCGCGAGGAGACGCCAAAACCCCGAATGGCTCAATTGAATAATCCTTCACCGTGAGTTAGGCGATATTGGGTGTGCTATAAAAGCTAGTTTTTTCTTTCATAGCCTTCCTCGCGCTCTTATAATACAAACCGCCGACCCCAACATCTTTCTTGGTAATAGATCAACCTGTACCCATCACAAAAACCGATTCTAACTGTAGCCGCCAGCAGGGTAACTCCTACCTGAATACTATGTTACCTGTTTTCTGATCTTCGGTCTGCGGCTGTCCTGCACGCCTCGACATGGCAAAACCGGGAGGGGCACTGGTGACGGCAGAGTGTCTACTATTTGCTCTTACAGACCTTGGCTATTGCTCCTGATCAGGAGATAAATCCCGGCAGGGTATGCGAGGCGACTGCTTTTGGAAGTGACTGCGGTCATGGGCTATCTACGGGAGTGGGTTTTCCGAGGGTGGTGTAAAACCGCCTTCTTTTTTCATATCTCTTCCAACAGGCACTACATATGACAATAGCGTTGGACGAAATATCATACTACCAGGGGAACGACCGAGAAAACCAGCGACCATGATATTTAATTCCGTCCCCATTCCCCCCTCTCTCCATCCACTTCCTGTTTTTGTGTATGCGCAGGCGCGGACTGCCCGATTTCCTGATCTTTATCTACCCGCTGGTGGAACCGGTTTACCATCTATTCCTTTCCCGATTCCAGCCTCGTCCTTTTGATACTGAGAAATTTCGATGTCCCATCGGAACACGTCCCGGGCCAGGCTTTACCACCGGTCAACTAGAGTTGGTCATTTACAATGAAATTCGGTGCAACACAACCTGAAACTAAATCGGAATTGTGAATTTACCCGTTGATAGGAATCGCAGACCATCTGAGTTCAGACCAAAATAACCATGCGGAGTCGAGAACATGAGAAGCTACCTTGCTTCATTCCGTGTTTAACGCTTTCGCAGTCTCGTGGTGCGGACAATAGGTATGTGACTAGGTTCCGTTTCTTTCCGCTGATCAAGGTGTTGGAGAAATAGAGACGAAGGAAACAAGCCCGATTCACGCACCTTGTTGGAATAAAAACAAGAAGGATAGCTCTGCTAGAGAGAGTTGGGGTTTTCGGCATGCTCTATATCAAGTCTGTGGCAGAGCATACCGTCGATTCATGTTCAGAAACCTTTCTTGTATCATGCTTAGTTTTCCGTAAGATACACCTCTTGGATATGGTGTACCGACCTGCCTTGCGCCGAGAGCCCTAATTCTCCGATTACTGACGCAATGCAATGCCAGCCAGAGCCTCTGACTCGCGTGCACAAGAGACCACACGGGAATATGCCAGTGGTGCAAGGAGATTTTGTGAAACGGACGTTCGTTTCGCGTATTGTCTCGGTATACCACCAACTCGTCAGACAAACCCTAGAACTACCGGATTCTCGACCACCGCCCAAGTGCAACATACACCTACATCTAGCACGGGTTCCTCCCAGTTTCCCGAGCGGTATTGCCGTGTTCGCTCGAGAGTTTGCCACAGAAACCAATCGGTTTCCGCATCGGGCGTGGAGTTTTCTACCGAGTGATAAATAATGATCCAGAGCGGAGTGTGATTGATTGCTGACCGGTGCAACGCCCCGAACAGGGAGGGTTAATTGCTCCAAATCCCAACTTCCGCTCCTACCGGCCCAGCCATGATATCTTAGGTATGATATTTCCAAACCGAGCCTACGAAGCGATAACGCCGGGCGCCAGCGTCTGGTAGGTTAGGGTTATGTAAATGTAAAGTGACATACTCAATGGGGGGAGGCAGATTTAGATCCGAGAAGGGTGCCAGAAGATGCGTTCCCCGGTTTCGTAAAACTCTTTCAAAAAGGCAGCAGTCAACGGAACGTTAGCGATGATATCCCGGATCTAAAGATGTAGGATCGGAGCTGTTGACATGGATAGAGCGCACATGTGACAAAGTGGCCAGTTGGATCTGGCGCTTCCAAAGCAGGAAGTATTGCAGACGCGTAAAAGAAAAGAAATCAATCGCTAGTCTAAACCATTGGTAATTTATCGTACATGAGTCTACCAGTATCATATTATAGCAAGAGAGAAAATGATAGGAAATCTCATTTTTTGCGGATATTTTTGACCTTGCGCTTCTTGAATACTACTCCGGTGCCTTCTTCCCTCTTTACCTCCAACGCGGCGCCGTCGTTACCCTCGGGGGCGTGAATCCCTAGCGGCGAGTCCAACTCCTCAGCCTTGATTTCGGGTCCTACTTCCGAATCCACTCCTTCTTGCTTGACCTCCTGCTTCCTCCGAACCTCCCCCTTAGCCTTACCTACCCCCTCCAATTTAAGTAGTTGCTCCAGACCCCCTTCGCCTTCATCCTCCATCCCAGGGTACGACTTAGTCTCGATCTTAAAGCTCTTGATAGCCTTCTCATCCTCATCCAGCGCCTTCCACTTCCGTTCCGCCTCCTCCTCATCAAACTTCCGCTTCATGTCTTGCCGGATCTCTTCCTGAACCTTCTCCTTTTCTGTCATTTTCCTCTCGGGCAAATCGGGCACTGCCTCGGTCGGCTTCCACTCCCCCATCAGCGCCATTTCTGCACGGTAGTCATCCGGTAACGCAACGCCTAAAGATTCGAGCTCGTTCATTTGGCGCTTCCTCTCTGCATCCGTGAGGACTCCTACAGGCTGCCTAGGTGGTGGCGGTCCCGAGACGGCGGAAGATGATGAGGACGATACAGAGGTGGATGGACCGCCGGCGAGGGCGTTCAGCCGCGCGACCTCCCGTTTGGCACTTTCGGCAGCGGCTTTCTCGCGTTCGTTGTTCCGGTGGAGATCACGGAGGAAGCGCTTCAGACTGCCTTGGTGCTTGGAGGAGGCATCATGGTTTTTCCGAGAGAGGGGGGTGTCTGTTACGTACATTTTGCAATGTTTGCAGTAGTACTTGGGCGTGGATTTCCAGTATTCAGACATTTTCGGCGGTAGCTATCTGCAAAGTGGCGGTTGGGAGGAGTTTGTTTTGTTGTGGATAAGGGGTATGGTGACCTTTGTGTTGAGCCCAGATGAGGCTGAAGTGGTGACAGGTGAGGATCAGTGTGGTCCATGCGTTCGGCTTCAGTTACCCGGCGGAAACGCGGGGTTAGCTTACACTACTGCATCAAGCACTTGGTCTGACCCCCTTGATCTGCCCCTCACTAACACCCCCGGGAGATCCCGTCTTCTGTAACCACAGCCATGTTTAAAAAAGGGTATTTAGATGGGTTATCCTCCCCCCATACGGACCAAAACTAATTGCTATCTCCAGATTCACCGGATCGTCAAAAACCAAGCTCAAGTCCTCCGTCCAGCGCTCTCTGCGTGCGAAGCTAGTCGAGCAATTCCCCCTCCTGGCACCGCACATCGACGAAATCCTCCCCAAAAAGTCGCAACTCTCGCTCCTCAAAGCCCCCGAACGCCTCTCCCTTTACGCTCTCGACAATGAAGTTCTCTTCTTCCAGCACCACGATGATGCGCTATTCCCCTCGCTGCGCCTTGTGCATAAATTCCCCGACTGTTTTCCCACCGTGCAGATCGATCGCGGGGCCATTCGCTTTGTGATGGCAGGCGCAATGCTGATGTGTCCAGGCCTGACATCGCCCGGGGCGAGGCTACCGGCGGAGGGCGAAGGTTATGATGCTGGGATGGTGGTTGCGGTCAATGCAGAAGGGAAGGAGAATGCTTGTATGGTGGGAATGCTGAAGATGGGCACTGATGAGATTAGGAAAGTGAATAAAGGGGTTGGAGTCGAGACAGTGCATTATTTGGGCGATGGTTTATGGAGATTAGATGCTGATTAGAGGGAATTTGACACCCGAGGCGCGTTCCAGCTATGGAGCGAGGGGTGGTGGATCTCTGTTTCTCGATGTCCTTTGAGGTTTGCCGTGCAGGTGTTGAAGGCACTATCTAGCATCGTGAGAACGAAAAAAGCCTGTCTTTTTCTCAAGGGTTGCAGTGGTTATAGGATGGCGGTCCCTATGAGCGTATTCCCTTGCGATCTCTGAAATTAGCAGCCCTCAAACCACCGGCTGATCCCTCGGGCGCAAAATTTATCATGATTACGCTCTTCATGGGTCCTAGAGAGGTGTAATCCCCTGGAAACGGCAAATTCTCATAACATATCACTCCTAGTATCACGTTCCCTCCTCACCTCCGCTCGGCTGTCGAACTGCGATCGCAATGTACCGCAACTGAAAGCACCGTAATAACCAATTGACCGGGAGCGCCCAGGGAGGATACACAGTGAGGGAAAAAGGGTTCCTTCTATTTTGCAGTGCACGCTACAAACTCTAGAATTTGAGAAAATATTATTCTGTCACACCAGCACTTTGATTCTGCCCAATAAATAATTAGGGTCCACCTTCCGCTCGACCATAGAAGCCATAATACGGCCGCGGCTGTGTCTCTTTAGCTACAAACCGGGCCCCTCTCATTCCCTATTCACTACACCATCCCCGTCCTCAACACCTACACTCTTCTCGTCTCCGCTATTCCCACCGTTATATCACCACCGCTACTGCCGTCAGTGTCTGCAACACCGCTGTCCAGCACCTTTCCCTTTCCCTCTTGGAAGTGCTGTCCCGACCACTAACAAAGGTCTCCCTCTTATCGTGTCGGGCGAACATAGACCATTTCACTATTTCGAGTAGAAATGAGGTCTCAACACCACGGGAAACGGGATCCAGAATGAAAATGAAATAAAAACTGATACATCTGAGGGATAACACCTAAATGCTATCAACCATGTAAGAGCCCCGAGAGTGTGTTCTTCGGACATATGCAGAGAGATAAAGGTTACATATCCCGCACTTCATATTTCAACACATGGGGTTAGAGCACCTGTATTCTCGAAAGTACAGCCATCGCCCTTACTCCTACTTCACCCGATTGCCTTTATCCGTCGGTTGCACTGCAGACTCAGAGAATCGTTGAGGAATGCGAGCTCGGGTCTGTACCCTCTTTGTTCATTCATGGTCTCCCCCCCTCTCTCTGCATAGATCACTGCAGGTACAAGTATATTCCAATCAATAGCTAGGGAACCCAAGGGCATGCAAACTTACGATCAAGGCCTCCCTCTTTCAAACTCTTTTCAACGAGATGTATATACAATACAGTAGCTAGCCAGCTAGATATCTTGGTACTCAAGCGGATGAACTCGAAGAAGAGCTATTCCGGAGACTCTCAAGCACTGGTGAGGTAGCGAGCACCCCCCCGCGCATACCTCCATCCCAACAACCGTATGCCTATCATATATTCCCAGACCGGTGAGCAAACTTCCATCTCTTAACCTCAACTACTTCGCAAGTTTCCCAGCTCTCAATAGACTGCCCAAGCTTTACAAGCCATAGCCACAGCGCAATACCCGAATCATGGTTTTCCTTCAACAGGCGCATAATTTCGGGCACTGTACCTCACCAGCAAAGGAAACTCCAACGCTCTCGTGCGAGGTTCGTGTTCGTACGATACGGTGAACCCGTCCTACGATACCGGCAGCCGGACGGTAGATTTGAATAATTCCTTTCCCCGGAAATATCGGATATTTGTGAGAGATGATATGACGCGCTATCGGGGAACAGAAGGCCTAAACACGGGTTGGTTAGTGACGGGTCATTGTGCGCATGGCGTAAGCACGACTGGGTAGACTATCGGTGGTGGGAAAGGGTGAGTGGGTTTTTTGTGAGCGGAAAGTCTTTGGGCAGGGACTCCGCGCTGATAGGTGTATAACGTATTAGTTGTAGTGCGAAAATGCCCCTAGATTGCGATATTCTCGTTCAGGGCATTGAATCCAACTTCAAACTTGGGCACCACAAGCCGCAGAACCATGCCTGCTACACCATGGTCAAACTTCAATAATTTCGGATATCGAGTGATATTTCATGCACTACAACCAAAAACGATACGAGTTCCAAAGAGGAATAGAACTTAAACTAAACGCACAACACGACGGCGCCCCTAATCCAACCGACAAAGAAATAAGGCAAATTAATACCCGCCTGGATATCCCCCCGGATACCCAGCCTGATACCCATGCCCACCATGATGTTCATAATCTCCACTGTGCCCACGATAACGACGTCCGTCCTCAGAGTCCTCATCTTCGGAGTAGTGCCTGTCCTTCCTGTCCTTCTTATCCTTCTTATCCTTATCCTTGTGTTTATCCTTGTCCTTGTCCTTTTTGTCCTTTTTGTCCTTTTTATCCCTGCGGCGCAAGACTCATTAGCCATATGCCCATCGTTTTCCGGCCAATAGTTGGAAGGGAGGAACATACTTATCATACTCATCGTAATGCTTCTCCTTCTTCTCCTTCTTCTTCTCCTTGTCGTGGTGCTTCTCCTTATCGTGATACTTATCCTTATCATGGTACTTCTCCTCCTTGTACTTTATACCAGAGGAGCCACCCTTATTATCCGTGTACCCGGCGGTAACGGCGTCGAGTATTCCACCAATGGGGCCGGGGATCTTGACCCCTCCAACGTTCATGCCCCCACCACTAGACGAGATTCCTGGGATGCCGGAGTAGCTGTCCTTGTCTTTCTTGGAGTCCTTGTCCTTCTTCTTCTTCTTCGCCTTCTCCCATTCGCCGTCCTTGAGCTTTCCGTGGCCACCTTCATGACCGCCGGCGAATACCCCTCCTTCGTGGTTCTTCCCAGCGCGGACGCCCTCGCTGGATAGCACGTCGTTCAGCGATGCGCCCTTGTCGCGCAGACGCTCGATCCATGCGGCGACGGTATTGAACATAGTTGCCTGGACCTCGGCATTCGGATCACGTAGTGCCGGGTGGTGGAACACGCGTGTTACGTCGTGGAGTACCATCTCTATCGGGGTGGTAGGATTCTCCCAGGCATAAACTATTCGGGGGACTGTGTATGTTAATATCGCACTGGCGACTTCTCCGGCGGGGGTATTAAGTTTGTTGGAGAAGTGGTCTTTTGACAGGAGGGAGTGGGTCGGGTCCGTGCATGTCGGTACGGTCCACGGTTCGTACTGGTGGGCTGCCGAGGAGTCAACGACAGCACTGGAACCCGCTTTTAGTTCTAGGGAGGCCTGAGCTATTATTGGGCGGACGTATGGCGCCAGAAGGGAGAGTACGAATAACGAAAGCGTCTCAGAGATCTTCTCAACGAGCGCGGTGAGGCCAGGAATTCGCTCTATGGCCTCTTCAATACTGCGCATGACTTTATCTCTGAACTCAAGGATTGGGTATATGTCGCGCGCGGTCTTTGCAGCGTCAAAGCCGCCAGACGGTGCCGGCCCACGGGATTTCTGTGGGGCGATGTGCATGTTCTCCATTTCTTTGGCGTTGCTCTGCGCCTCCAGTCTATCGGCGTCGCCAGAGAGACCGCCAAGGCTGGGTATTTGTTGCAGGAGACCCTGCAGAACGCTCTTTTGCCCGGTGCGTTCCGACTTTTTTTGTTGCTCGTGGGCTTCCCCAAGGACATTGTCCAGTTCATCCACTTCTGTCTGAGAAAACTTATCTTGGGCTTCACCGAGAACAGAGTGCAAGAAGTCTACCGCTCCAAAGGTGCCCGTCACGAGTGGGAATACGCGCTTCATTGGCCCTCCGCCCATGGCTTGTTGTTGATGTACGGGATACCCGCCGGCGTACCCACCGTACGGTGGCGCACCGGGCTGAGCGGGGGTCACGGCACCCGGGCCGGCCATCATTTCTGTGCCCACACCGGTGTGCGGGAAGACGCTATGGAAGCCGAGTTCACGGAGGGCTAGTTCTATGTAATTGCTGTGCGCGGAGAAGTCCTCCAGACAGTGCAATGCCTGACCAAGGCAGCGTAGAGCTTCGCAAAGGTCTTTTTCACGGCCGGCGACCCCGGCGCCACCGGAGGTGTAGAGACGGCCAAAGTGGATGGATCTGGTAAGGGAGTGCTTAACGTATCCGGTGGAGGTCGCCCATCCTCCACTTTCGTTGGCAATGTAATTTTTCATTCCGGTTAGGGGGTCTACGGCCAGTTCTGCCGGGTGTACTGGAGGACGGAGACGGGGGTCATAGTGGCGTGCGTCGGTGTTGTCGGCATAGTCTCTTGGGTTGTCTGTTGCATCGTCGTCAGTAAAGAGGGGTAATCAAGATTAAATCTCAAAACAATCGAGCAGTAGCTCGCTAACCGATATGCTCCTCAGGCCGGTAAACCCCTAACCTCTCCTCCGTGACCTCAAACTCCCCCGTGGCGTAACCAAAGCTCAAAAAGCTCAGCACCCAAACTAGAATACGAATGGTATCCTTATTAACGCGATTGAGAGTGCCGACATCCAGAGCCTGTGAATAATCCCTCAACCAATTCCCAAAGTACACACGTCGGACATTCCTGGAGGTCCACTTGAGGCCCTTAAGCGCTACCAATGTCTTTAGCGTGTCCTCAATATCACCGTGTCGCCAGTTTCTCCCTTCAATTTTCGCGATGCTCGCGATGTTTCCCGCACCGAATGCGGCGGCTGGAGACGCAAGGGCTAGGAATAGGAGGGTGGTGAATAGGAGGAGGAACGAGGACCTCGCGCTCATTGCCATGGTTGATAAATTTGTGGCTCTGCACTACGGTGGGAATTTGTGGTAGTGGTGCTTGATGCGGGCGATGAGATGGGGTGGAGGTAGCCTTAATGTTTATATATTATGGAGGGGGAAAAACTGGTATCGAGGGGAGGGGGGATTACGAAAGCGGGGCAACCCCACTGGATCCATTCCCAGCTGAAAACATCCAACTCGGGTATAGAGTCTATAGGCACCGTAGTGAACCTCGCCGCTCCTCGTTCGCTTTCCAGCGTACCTCCCATACCGAACCATCTCCCTCTCTCTAAAAACCCCGTTTTTCCCCCAATTAAACATTTTCCGCTCGACTGACAGGCAGGCAAAGCATGGGCACAAGATACCTTGGCAGGGACCAAAACTTACCAACAAGTGACTCTTGCGGTGGTTAACTTGAATCTAGTTGCCGTGGGAGCGCAGTGCTCGAGTACTCGAGTACCGCATACCGGAGGTGGTTACCAACAGTAGTGGTACACTAGGCAGACCTTCAGCCATTGTCCAGACTACTAAGTACTAGCCCATTAGGGCAATTGAGATTAAATGTGCACAGAGGATGATGCTCCGATCATGACCATGCTGAGTGTTACTCGGTTTGTGCATTCTCAGCCCAACACTCCCTTAAAGTACCTATTAGCATGGCCATGACAGAAACGAGATTTTCTGAGGACTCTCCAGGACAGCCCACCACCCACCGGAAAAGCACGTACCCTTGTCGGCCAAGACCTACCAGCACTACGGTGCCTTGAAATTCGGCAACAAGGTAAGGGATCTAGAAATCAACCAGGATAGTCGGCTCTTGAGCGTCTAGCCCACAGGGGAAACCAGGACTACATGTACACAGAAGACCTTACTTCGATCATGGCCATGCTGAGTGGTACTCGGTTCATGCATTCTGAGCCCAACACCACCTTAAAGTACTTATTAGCATGGCCATGTCAGACAGTAGGGCAAGGGGGGAATAGAGAGTGGTAGCAGCATATTACTCGGCTTCAAGAGGCAAGAAAGGAAGTGGTAGTGCATGATGTACAATAACGCTAGTGGGATAATTGATACCACACGTTTGGTACTTTCCACCGCTAGCTAAAACAGACTTGGCATACTGATGCCCAATAGTAATCCTCTGCCGTATGCAAAATCAGATGCAGGGGGGTTGCAAAAGCAATATTGGCTTCTACAGCCTTCCCAATCAACAGCCCAGCGGCTTTGTATTTGCCATCCTCAATCCCAAACACACAGCCTCCGGAATCCCCTCTGCTCACAAAGGATCCAGCTTTTGGTCCGATAATCGCAATTTCATATGTAGGTGCACCGTTGTCATGGCTACCCGGATATGGAGACAGAATATACATAGGGGTTCGGTTGCATTTCTTAGTTGGGCTTTTCTGATTGCTAAGTGAAGGATTTCTTTTGTACTTTGATTGGTATGTGTTAGGCGGCAGCCAATTCTAAGTCAGGCGAATTGTAACTGGGGCCAATTTAGTTTCTCGGAGAGTGGTCAAGAAAGCTTGTAACAAAAGTAGGTATCAAAGTATAACGAATATATTGATAAGATCTCTTCTCCGTTCGCTGATGATTCTGAAAGCTAAGGATTTTTTTT